GGTGAGCAGTAGTAGTCAGTAACTAAGTTAGACAGTTTGTATACATTCTAGAGAAATGTGAAACATAGTGTTGTTTACACATAGTTGTTTGGGTGAGCAGTAGTAGTCAGTAACTAAGTTAGACAGTTTGTATACATTCTAGAGAAATGTGAAACATAGTGTTGTTTACACATAGTTGTTTGGGTGAGCAGTAGTAGTCAGTAACTAAGTTAGACAGTTTGTATACATTCTAGAGAAGTGTGAAACATAGTGTTGTTTACACATAGTTGTTTGGGTGAGCAGTAGTAGTCAGTAACTAAGTTAGACAGTTTGTATACATTCTAGAGAAATGTGAAACATAGCGTTGTTTACACATAGTTGTTTGGGTGAACAGTAGTAGTCAGTAGCTAAGTTAGACAGTTTGTATACATTCTAGAGAAATGTGAAACAGTGTTGTTTACACATGCAGTGATTCGTAGTTTCAGAGAAACTGGATTTTTACGATGTAGTACCAGATTTAGATACTTTTAGCCGCTACAGATCCAGCTTAACTAATGAACTGGGCACTGACTTGTCATAGAAAAATATATAAATCTTAAATGAGATTGCTGTATGAATGCGGGTTGATTTTTATTGATTAACTAAGAGGACTTTTATAGAGAACATGTAATTCAATGTGATTTTTCATCAAATTTGATAGGCTTAAAGGACTTTCCCGTGTACAGGTTCGTTAGTATGGATTAGCAGTTATGTTTCCTTGGCTTTAACAAGGTTTTCAGTTTTTATGGTACTGATGTTGAATTGAGGATACTGTTTAGGGTTTGGGTTTCCATTGTAGTGTTTAACTGTGTAGTGCTTGAACGAGTGCATCCTACCTCTAGGGCAAAGTTGAATTCAAAAACGTACAAAAAATAAACTTGTCATTCTTCCATGTATTAAACAACTTTCAGAGTTGGAATTTATTCAATAAAAAATATTTTTTTTTTATTTAATTTTGTACATAAGAAAAAAAATAAATATCCCAACTTTTGATTTTTAGTTGATTTCAGTACTCGCCAAACAAAAAACATTAATGGTCTTGAATTTTATATTTAACATAATTCAGCACTCTAGGAAGAAAGTTAATAAAAGAGCACTAATTTGTCCTTGTGATTTCAGTACAAGTCTATTCTTAATAAAAATATGATAAAACAGCTTTGTATAAAACATTAGTTCTGAAATCGCTTGTGTTATAGGTTTTATCTTTAACATAATTCAGCACTTGTAGCACTCTAGGAAGAAAGTTAATAAAAGAGTACTAATTTGTCCTTGTGATTTCAGTACAAGTCTATTCTTAATAAAAAAATGATAAAACAGCTTTGTATAAAACATTAGTTCTGAAATCGCTTGTGTTATAGGGTTTATCTTTAACATAATTCAGCACTTGTAGCACCCTAGGAAGAAAGTTAATAAAAGAGCACTAATTTGTCCTTGTGATTTCAGTACAAGTCTATTCTTAATACAAAGATGATAAAACAGCTTTGTATAAAACATTAGTTTAGTTCTGAAATCGCTTGTGTTATAGGGTTTCGTCCTTTTTTATATATATATGGTACATTTTCATGTACAACAGTCAAGGATTACGAAAGTACCTTAATCCCAACTTGTTGTACCTGAAAACGTCCAACTAGAACTAAGCAATTACGTTAGTTAGCATCACTTAAACTAAGTTATTAATTGAAATTGATTAAGCAAAATTCCAATTAATCAATCATTGACATGATAATAATTAACTAATCAAAATTAGTGTTTCTAATTATTACTTTACGATTATTCCAACTATACAAGCAATCAAAATACTGCCATTATGTTTGTTTTTAACTGAGGGAGGGTCTAATGATTTGAGGGTCTTGGTTTCAATTCCCCTGATCATTTAAACTTACTTGCCCTGTCTTTGTTATTGTAAAACTGTTAAGGCCACTGTTACTAATTTTGAACATCTGACTAGACAAAACTCAATTGGCTGGCAGCACCCATCGCCATCTATTTGGATAGTTAAATTAAGTTTTAAATACAGGATAGATTTACTGTTGATTTTTTTAACTTTGTATTATGTTTTTAATTTATAGTATTCTTTAATGTTGTAGAAGTAGGGGTGGATGTAGGAAAGGGGTCCAAGGAGTGGACCCTCAACCCGTTTTATTTATTATTTGTTGTTTTTTTTTCAGAAATTAATAACTGTATTATTTAATTTCCTTCAAGTAGGTACAAATCTAGGGTGGTACAATGCCCCTCCATTTTTTTTTCAGAAAATACTATAAAAAAACAACAACCACATATCCTTACACTATAATGGCTGGAGACGGCTTAAATGGGTAATGAAGAAAAACTTTAATATAAGTTTAATATGATGATGACAAAACCTTGTCGAAACGTTGTACATTTGCTGTCATGTTAAACTTATATTAAAGTTTTTCTTCATTACCCATTTAAGCCGTCTCCAGCCATTATTAGTCTCAAAGTGGGTTCCTCGTCATCGAATCCTTACACTATAGTATACCATATAGTATCAAAAAAAGAAACACTAAATGCCATTGTTTTTACTTGATTGTATTTTACTTACCATAAAAGCTTTTTTGAGGTTTTCTGAAATCAATACAGCTGGAGTTTACGACAATCCAGTTAAATCCACAACAATCCAGTTAAATCCACGACAATCCAGTTAAATCCACGACAATCCAGTTAAATCCACAACAATCCGGTTAAATCCACAACTATCCAGTTAAATCCACAACAATCCAATTAAATCCACAACAATCCAGTTAAATCCACAACAATCCAGTTAAATCCACAACAATCCGGTTAAATCCACAACAATCCAGTTAAATCCACAACAGTCCAGTTAAATCCACAACAATCCGGTTAAATCCACAGCCGATAACTCATTGTCTTTAATTTAATACAACAACATAGTAAATTTTTGGGTCTTGTTTTTTTCCAGACACTCTTGATGATGTGTCCAGACTTTAGAGAGGTGTTTTCATTAAAATTAGTATTGTTCAGGACACCTACAGCTCTGTAACATACACTTGTTACAGAATCAATATTTCACTGTTTAAAAGTTAGAATTCTCATAAGGAAGATGTTTTTCTTATTGTTGGTGTTTAAGTGAAAATAATAACATAATGTTTAGCGATAACAAGGAATCTGTTGGTCCATTTTGGCTATTCCATCCTCAATATTAAATTTAAAAAAAAATTAAAACCAGTCCTTATCCTTCATACACTTATCAAGTTTTCTCTTAAACTCACTTAAATTTACTGCCTCCACAACATCTGAAGGCAACCCATTCCAAAGGCCAACCACCCTCTTAAAACAACCACTAGCAACAGCACACTGGTTGGATGGCTTAAGAGACTGATCAACCATTACACCAAGATCCCTTTCTTTCATAACACTGTTAAACTGATTAACCAGGACACCAAGATCCCTTTCTTTCTTGACACCATTAAACTGATTAACCAGGACACCAAGATCCCTTTCTTTCTTGACACCGTTAAACTGATTAACCAGGACACCAAGATCCCTTTTTTTCATGACACTATTAAACTTAAATCCAACTTTTATCCAATTTGCTAACTTATCCCTCACACCTATAGAGCTAATACTTTTACAAGCCTTTTATGTGGCACCTGGTCAAATGCTTTCTAAAAATCCAGATAAACCAAATTCACACCCTTACCCTCATCTACATAACAGTAACCTTTCCAAAGAATGTCAAAAGATTTGTAAGGCAAGATTTTCCCTTAGTGAAACCATGTTGATTATCCAATAAAATTCTAAACCTTGTTAAATGACTTTGCAAGGCATCTTTTATCAGACTTTCCAAACCTTTTCCCACAACTGATGTAAGACTAATAGGTCTATAATTAATGGAACACTTCTTATCACCTCCTTTGAAAAGAGGAATGACATTAGCTAACTTCCAATCCTCTGGCAACCTTGCTCACTATTCAAGGACATACAAAAAATAATACCAAGTAGCTCACATATCCAATACTTAACCTTCTTTAAAACCCTTGGGAAAACATTATCTGGCCCAGGAGCCTTGTCATTCTTTAAAATTCAAAATTTTTTCTTAACAAGCTCAGAAATTGATGTGATCATCGTCATGATATAAAAAGATTGTTTGGTTTAAATACTGGTGATTAATTTATATATGTGAGTGAATACTTTATTTTAAGTTTTGGTATAATAAGAGTTAAAATCAAACGATTGTAGAAGGTTTTGTTAATAACTAATTGGTGTTGAGAATATAGAAAGTGTCTAGACAACTATGTAATAAAGATATAAATAGCATGAGACGAGCGGGAAGCAGCAGACAGACAGTATTAGATAGACAAAAGCAGACAGATAACAGCGAAAGAGAATATAGTTGGTGGGAAGTTAAGTACTGTAGATGTGATAGGCCTAACGATTGACATAGGCCTTACGTTTAATATGTTAGAGTGAAACTAACAGTATAAAAAGATAAGAAGGATAATTTTATTCCTTCAAAGCATGGTTCTAAAGTAATTGAATCAGCCTGGGTACCCTTTGACAAAAGGAACAGGGGATCTTCAGAAGAAAGAAGACCAAACGAATTACGGTAACTTGCTCCACAACTGTAAGTGAATCACACACAAATACTAGTATGATAGTAATATAGAGATAGTTCGACTTGTCAACTGAAATTCTAAAGTAATTGAATAGGCCTAAGTGGACTTTTGACAAGAAGAAGAGAACTATATACAAATAGTGTTTATGATATTCCTGTAATCTCTATAGTGTGAACACTTTATTGTACATACGTTTAACTTGTTCCGAATATGTATATATTATTTGAGAACAAGTAAAGTGTGTGCTGTTTATCGCTAACAAGTCAAGACGCCTACTGTAGAAGAATCTTAAGCCCAACATAGTATGTATTATACTATGTAGTATATATTTATACTATTAAGAATTAAAGTAAAGGCCATTTATTTTGACAATTGGCAAAAAGAATAAATTGTATGTTTTCAAATTCGATGACGAGGAGCCCACTTTGAGACTAATAATGGCTGGAGATGGCTTGAATGGGTAATGAAGAAAAACATTAATATAAGTTTAACATAACAGCAAATGTACAACGTTTCGACAAAGTTTTGTCATCATCAGGTACCTGATGTTTTAGACATTCCACCATGGTTTAGATTACAAAGATAGGTAATTCTGTGTAGTATAACTATGTGGACAGGTTAATGTTTTAGACATTCCACCATAGTTTAGGTTACAAAGATAGGTAATTCTGTGTAGTTTAACTATGTGGACAGATTAATGTTTTAGACATTCTACCATAGTTTATAGTTATACTACACAGAATTACCTATCTTTGTAACCTGTCCACAGGTTAATGTTTTAGACATTC